GATTGTTTTAGAATTATGAAATACTAAAATTATTTTAGAATTATGAAATACTCTGAGGTGAGTAGCAGTAGAGACTTCTATTTGATAAAGAATGGGATTTTGCCCTGAGAAGTTGCACCCCGCGCGCCTTCTAGCTCACCTCTCCAACGAGATGGTGACTCCCTGGGGGGAGGGCTGCGTTGTATTCAAAGTCTATGTCTCCCACCACGTCGGCCACAGCATCTCACACAGAGTAGACATAGACATGGTTTTTGAATGAATGGACTTTTTCACTCTGGAGACACTTGCCTTGAAGTAAGGCAAGTTTCAAGTCCTTCTGAGCAATTATATTTGTTAATTTGAATAAGGTGCCAGCTCAGGGCACCTGGCACCCAGAACTCCGGGGGCGCTGCTAACAGACACCGCCAATTCTGGCCGGCTAGAGTAAACTATAGTGCAATGACCATTGCCAGAGCCACTGGGGGCACTATCGTGTGCATTGTAGATTCCTTAGTGTCACGTAAGAGCCATTCATCCATCAAATACTTATCGAATGTCTACTGTGTACTAGATACTCACCTGGGCACTGTGGACAATTTAAGGCTAAAATTTCCTTCAATGGAGAGGCAGGTATTTGACTTGGTGGATTAAAGATGTAGCTCCCTCTAGCCTCCTACTTTCCCAGTTAGTACAAGATTTTCTACTTGGGAGATGCAGGCTGATCAGGGATCACAAAGCGTCTTGCAAGAATGAGGAAACTCCCCCTCCCACCAGGATGGCTCTGCCATGCTCAGCACTCCCCCTCATCTCTCCTGATGCAGCTCTTCCCTCCTCGCTGCTGCACACGGCCAGACTTGGGGCAGAATAGAGGGGGTCATAAAAAGGGGCTCCAACAACCTGTATCCACAACCTTTTAATTCTAGAGTTTAGGGATAGACTAAGTCAGAAAGAAGAAAAACCAGTCTCCACGGTATTCAAAAGGAAGCGGTAGGGGCAGACAGGCTGGTGGGGGCTCTGTTTTGGCTACAGAATCAGCATATTGTGCTATAGAGAATGTTTCAGTGATCTTTTTTTTTTTTTAATATCCCAAGCACATTTTGACACCTTCTGATAGGACTCAGTACACCCAGGAGACACAAATCAAAAGCACTTCTCCACACACACGAGTTGTGTGGCACGACTTCCTATGCTAACTGGAAGCTGACTGAATGAGTTCACCAAACCTACCCTTGTGATGTGTCAACCAAGGGTGATCTTACCCCCTCAGCATTGCCCTTTGCCTTGCTGGTGAGGTGGTGATATTCTAAGGTACCTACTATCTAATTCCTGTCAGCCCTGACTTGTGGCCGCTAATTGCTTCTAGCTGGGTCAAAGCATCCCAAACACAACAAGGGGGCAGGGGAGCACGCCAGCTTTCCCCCAAAGCAGTGGATGACAGCTGTGTGGCATCTTTGGTTCATCTGCATCCTCTTTCCATATGTTTGTTAGAATCTGGATAAGGCACAGCCCCCCATCTCTTCCTCAGCTGAGACTACACGAATCCCCAATCAAATGATTGAAACTCTCCTTGCCACAGGTCCACCGGTGTGGTCACTTCCTCAAATTCAGTTGCTTGGAAACCATTGGTGACTTGGCGTGTCCTCCCTCCCCCTCCACAATCTGCCTCCTTACATAGCAGGCACTCAGAGATGCCTAAAGTTCATCACTTTCCACGACACTCCGAGAAGCACAGGAATACACCATTGAGCTTTCCATGGAGGAAAAGGCAGAAAAAAGGTCAAGTCCTTTACTGGTGAGAGATCCGTAGCGACTGCCACTGGGCCGGATGGATATGGGTGGTGGGATATGCTGGTGCCACTGAGCTGGAAATAGATCAAGCAATATGTTATGAACAAATCAATACAGTCTTGCAGGTACATTCGGTTAAGTACTGGGCTGCTACCTGCAAGGTCAACCCCATGGGAGGAGGATGATGCTGTCTGCTCCCATCAAAGTATGCACGGCCTTGGAAACCCCGTGGAGCGGTTCTACTCTGTCCCATAGGCTTGGGACTTGACTCCACAGCCTTGAGTTTAGCAGGGACACCCGAGTCCGCGGGCAGTATACATGGCTATTAGGTGAGGCAACTGATGGCCAGGCTGGAGGGTGGAGTCCACCCCAAGCTACCCCTAAAGAAAAACTCGTAGGTCTACCCCAGAAAACCCTGTCTTCGAGAACCCTGCGGTGCATGGGTTCCTCTGACATGCAAGGGCGGCCGTGAGTCAGAGCTACTCCCAGCCACTGGATGGACAGGCACATGGTCTGCTGAGCCTGACTCTCCTTGTGGAGCCTTGGTAAAGGACCCAAGTGTCCCTGGATCTAAGTGTCTAATTTGTAAAACAGAGCAATTAAACCTCTGCTAAGAATAGAACGTTACTTCTATCTCCAAGACCTTAGGAAGAGCCAGATAAGAAAGAAAATGGGTAACTGGAGTGACTTCTCAAGACTATCGCCTCTCACCGATCTAGCCTGGGGTCTGCTGGGATTGGGGTACAGAGGGAGCAGGATCTCAAGAGAGGGCACCAGGAGATAGAGCAAGGAATCAGCCAAAACAGAAGGCAAAAGATGGGTGTAGGCCTCTGCCCCACACTCTAGCCCGAATCGGGCAGTACAGACTCTTCCCACACTCTCAACAGGTGGCAGTGGGTTTCAGCACCAAGTGCACCGCCCCCCCGTTCGTTCCGAACACAAGAGGATTGACGATCGTTCTGCGTTGTTCAGTGTTCACTCAGCAAGCACAGTGCACAAGGACCCTTGTTTAGCACTCAGTCTTGAGCGTGTCTGAATGAAACAGCCCACCCAAGTGGTGCTGTCCTTCTTGTCTCTGACTTGGAAATTACCAGGCAGTCATCTGATTAGGTTTCTGGAGGACCCTGATTCGGAGAGGGGAGGGTCCTTGTTCGGAGGAGGGGAACACTGGCGCTCTGGGGTCTACAGAGCTGATTGTGAAGTTGCACATTAGCATTCTGGCTTAAGAATTAGTCCTCTGTGGATCTCCTGGTTTTGAGTCAGTTCTTTTCAGCATTGAAATAAACACCACAGTGAATGGATGAAATCAAATTTCTGAAGCTGTAAAACTGAGCAGCCGACAACTAGGGACCTGGCTCTGTAAGGCCCACCTCGAACAGTGTAGAGTCAAGACCCTCCTTCCAAGTTACAGTCCTTCTGTCTCTGTCCACTGCCCCTGTCCTCTTACGGGACTCCCAAGATTGGGAGCCCATGTTTGAAGTGGGAAGAGCGCTGTTACACTGTGGGGGTTGCCATCAATGTCACAAAACAAAGTATGACTGCATTGTTGGATAGAGACTAAATTTTCTCTATGAATGTTCACCTAAATCACAATTTAAAAGTTGAAAACATGATAGGGGAGAGAGTAGAGCACACAACAAGTAGCGAAGTTGAACTTTATGAAATCCTATTGAAAAGTAACAACTTGGCTCAAAAGAGCTATGCTAAGACCTGTTTTGTTTTGTTTTTTTTGTGGGGTGTCCAAGTTGGTAGTTTGTTCAGCATTTAAATGAATCATTATTATAATAATCTCATTGGTTTGAGAGGATCCAAGGATAACACTGTAAATTACACTGTATAAATGCATCACTATTTTGATGTCATTTGACAATATTATCAGGACAGATTTCTATTGTTAGGGAAGTCTGATTGGGGATTGGGAAGTAAATACTTGCTGAACATCTGAAAACAAATGGGGGTCATTCAGGTGGGGGTACTGTGGAGGATGACAGGGTCGAGTGGATGGCCCATGAAGGTGCTGGATCTTCAGCACAGGTAACCTCTGCTCTAGACAAGGCGACAGGGCAAGCACATAGTAAAATGTAAAGCTGCTCAAAAGAGTGGAGGGGGCCAACATGAGATTACTTTGAGAAATCCATCTCTTAACCCCTAAAAGATAATCTAACCAATTCACTACAATGATCCTAAAAAGCGACACCAATCCTTAAAACATAGATGGTATATATTTCAACTCATGATGTTAAACCTACCATATATATCCAGTCTAGCAGTGCATGACACAATGCCAGCTTCATTCTTGGCTGACAAGGTGTACCATCCAGCGTCTGATTTCTTGGCTGGCTGGATGAGGAGGCAGACATAGCCGGTTGTGTCCTGGTGCATACTGGAGAGGAGAAAAAAGAGAACCAGGTAGGGGGAGAAAGGCCATGATCAGCTTTAGAGCTCAGGGACCCACCTCTTAGTGTCAATTGACCTGTGCTGGGTTTCTTTCCCCCTCCCTGTCCCAAGAAGGATGACCCCTGGAGGCTTCGTGGGTCAAACATTGGGCTACAAACTGCAAGATCTCCAGCTCTTCAGGGGTGGAAAGGGGGAGCAGGGAGAGGTGGGGGGGGGGGATGAGACTTTCTGTTCCTATAAAGATTTACAGCCTTGGAACCCCACAGGGCAGTTACACTCTGTCCTGTGACTTGGAGTCCACTCTAGGCAGTGAAGGGTTGTGTTGGTCCCTAGAAGGAAGGAGAGTGGGCATGGCTTAACACAAAATCAAAGGCAAATTTGAAGTTGGAGACACATGACCACAGAGCAGCCATTAACTTAAAATGTGAAGATGAAGGTGAGCAGCCACAGCCGACCTTGTTCCCTCCACGCCTTCAGCTCGATTGTCTTTCTTTAATCCCCCCACCCCCCCACCCCCTACACTATTATGGAGGTTTATTTAGGGACGTTAACAGATTACCAAAAGTCAATATCAGAAAACATTAAGGATACAGTCCTTTGCTGACTACAGGACCACTTCTCAGTCATGCTAGCATCTACCTCGCTCTGGTCCTCTCAGTTATACGACCACTTGGCCTCTTCCCAGCTCTAGCTAGTGTGCTACAAAACTCCTTAAGACAGATAAATGCCAAAAGCATCCTGCTGAAGCCAGGCAGTTGTACTTTTTTCCTTTTTAAATC